ACCCCTGCTATAGATATTTGGAGTATCGGATGCATATTTGCAGAAATGCTTTCGGGAAAACCTTTGTTTCCTGGAAAAAATGTGGCTCACCAGTTAGATTTAATTACCGATCTGTTTGGAACTCCTGATGCTGAATCCGTAGCGAAGGTTGGTTGACTCAGTTATTTATTTGTCTTATTGGGGTTATGAGATAAACTGACAATTATTATACCAGTTTACGAATTTCAGTAGTTTCAAAGCATGAAACATATGAATAATTCACGATTTTAGGTTCATGCATCAAAGTTATGTTAGAAGCATCATTCAAATTTACTCACCTCTGAAACCTTCTCTTTTGCACCCTTTTGTATTTTTAATCTATTTCAAGATTAGGAATGAAAAGGCAAGAAGGTACCTGGGAAACATGCGTAAGAAAACACCAGTTCCATTCTCACGAAAGTTTCCTAATGCTGACCCATTGGCACTTCGTTTACTGGAACGCCTCCTGGCATTTGATCCCAAACATCGTCTAACTGCTGCAGAGGTACGTGGAATCTGCCGACCAATTTTATTTCCCTTGTAAAATCCTTTTAAAAATCTTGGTAATTATGTATATCTGCGTGTACTGAATCCAATTTCAGGCACTTACGGATTCTTACTTCAATGATATAAAGAAAGCAGAAATTGAACCTTCTATTCAACCAATTTCAAAGCTTGAGTTTGACTTTGAGAGAAAGAGATTAACAAAAGATGATGTTAGAGAGTTAATTTATGCAGAGGTATGTAGCCTAGCAACTTGAAACGTGCTGTTTTAACAGTAATTTATATTAAGTATTTTATATATATATATATATATATATATAAGAAGAGTTTTTACCTTCACGATGAAAATCTGAAATTTTGATTGATGAAGTTTTTGTCTAAGTTTTGGAGATGAAGGTTGCCCGCCAAAATTATGGGCGATCAAATTTAATTAAGAATGTACTGAATTTCTTGTATGAAGTCTACAGATTTTAGAGTATCATCCCGAAATGTGTCAGGAGGGCCTACACGATGGAGGTCAATCTACCTTTATCTATCCAAGGTAGTGGCTCTACAATTGAATATTAACATCTTTTAGAGTTCAATTAGTTATGGAATGGGCCTATGTCATAAAGTAAACAATCTTTCTTTTGCATATTGATTTTCTATCAATCTAGTCCACATTACATGTTATGATGATACAAATGGTTGATCCAAGATAAAAGTAATATTTGCTTGATTCATCAGTTAATTATCCATTTCTTCCTCTTGCACATATCAGTGGCGTTGATCGATTTAAACTTCAGTTTGCGCATCTGGAAGAGAACTTCAGCAAAGGTCAAAGAAGTGCTCCACTTCAAAGGCAGAACGTTTCCTTACCTCGGTAATAATTCGAATAGAAATTTGGTTGTTCTCTTCAAGTCAATGATACAATTTTAAGAAGCCACATGATCAAATAACTAATAAGCATTGTCTACATCCTTTTCCTCTGTTCTCCATCTGGACAAAGGATTGACGATCTGTGGCAGTATATTATAATTTTAAGATCTTGTGTCGAGAAATATGGTATCAGAATGATAATTTATTTCCTGTACGAGGGTAAGTTATGAAATTCTGTACCTATTCTCAGAAGATTGATTTGTACGCATTGATTTGCAGTAAATACTTCATTTCCATCTAAATTTATAATATATCATATTTTCAGGGAGCGGGTTACTCCACCCGAGCACAAGAACGCTGAGCATAACAATGATTTTGGAAGGTAGGTTTTCACTTCTTCTTTGCTATGGCTTCCAAAATTGTTTCTGGAAATATAAACTCAAATGCACAAAATGAACGCAGGGGGGAAGAGAAGAGTGCCCACCTCTTCAAAAGTGCTAGCATTAGTGCATCGAGGTGTGTAGGGGTAATACCGAAGGAGAAGTCTGAGGTAATAAATAGTATCCCTATTCCTTGTTCCTTCGTATGAATCACTTATCTTGCTAGAATTTTGATGCATTGGATGTGATCGGCTCAAAGTTTAAAACAGATACGAGGATATGTTATATTTAGACATCTCGGCCACATATTCAAATCATTTTAGCATCTTGGATATTTTGAATTTTGGATGCCAATGATAAACTCTTAGCTGGCGTGTGTATATATATATATATGGTTCTGCGATCATATGTCCTATCAGAGATAAAAGAGAGATACATGTGAAATCTGTCTTTTATATTTCTAAGCCTTTTTTGCATAGATGTAGAGCTTAAGTCACTTAGCTCATGAGATAGAATTGTTTAGGATAGGGTTAAGAAATCAAGACTAAATTTGTTATGTTAGTATGCTTATAGAAAGAAAATAAGTTCAGATTTTCTAATAATATAAGCTCCATAAATCCAATTTACATGAACCCTAGTTATAATAATTTTTACAATTCATCAACTTACATATAAGACTCTTGTTACATGCCTGATTTTGTACCAATTCAATCTTTTGTATAGTTCAAGTAGAGATGAAACCAATGAATACTTCTCAATTTCAAGCTTCATAAACCAACTTACTAAAACTATGACTCAAATCTCTCTTGAAGAATGAAAGTGAAAATGAAAAGCAAGTTCTGAAAGGAAACGTACATCAGTACCAAAGTTATCTCTTTTGATGCAACTTTTATGCATTTCTAAATCTTCACAGGAGGAAGAAACGAGTTCTGAGGTCAAAAGTGAAGCAGTTGATGAATCGACTCAAAAGATTGCAGTCCTTCAGAGGTGACTTCATGTTGATATATTTAGCTGCTAAAGACAGGAGTCAGAAGGTGAGATCTGGTCACCATTTCCCTGGGAGAAAAAGTGCTCGATGAGGCAAATTTCACTTTGGTCCCTTGTGTTTAATGAACGAACAATAAGTATGATTTTGTCCCTCATCTTTGAATTATTGAAATATAGAGGAAATATACCCCTTTTCTTGTAAATAATATGCAAAAGTTGTTCCATCCAAGTACAAGTACTTTCTGAATTTTAGTTTGCCAAATATTTTGAAATGTTGAAAGAAAATATGTGTTAATGCACCCTAACACTCATTTTAGAAAGGGAACTAGATTTTTTCTTATTATCTGAGTATTTAGACCGGTCTATTTCATTAAATTGATGGGATAACACTATTTTGATTGTCATAAAATTTATAACGAGAAGTTTGAACATCTCTTTTCTCATATGCTCCAAAGCTACTATGCATGGAAATCATCTATCTTCTCGAGAGTCTCTTTACACATTTTCCGAAGTATTTTTAAATTGTTTTCAAACGAAAAAGTTTGAAAGAGCATCATTAGGACATTAGCTCAACGATAATTTTATTATTTAACCAATAAGTCAAAAGTTTGAATACTACTCCAAAAATGGTTAAACTAAAAATAAAATAAAACTCTTGGGAGAAGAAATTGCCCCAAGAAATTGCCAAGAATTTTCTGCTACCCACCCTATTACTTGCTTTCCAACAGTTTGAGATCGTCAGCATAGAAAAAAAAATGCTCCATATATATATACATATATATATTTACAGTCGAACAAGGTGATAAATTATAGCCTTCCAACTTGCTGTCCAAGGGATTATTTGGTTGCATTCTTTGTTATGGCTGTATCATTGGGAAAAACTTCATAAATTAGAGCCACCACTTTTTGAACTTTATATATTTTAATGTTACTTTGGCCTTTTGGGCGAATTTTCAACTCATTAGTGTAGAGGATGCAACCACTTACAAATGTACCAAAATTTCACATTTCATTCTTCATTGGCAGCCAATCACTGAAAGGTCTCCCCTAAAAACAATAAGAGTCAGGAGATTTCACCTCCCCACCCACCTAATCTTCGAAGGTTCAAACTGTTTAGGTGATTCAAGCATTAGTCGAGAGAGAGAAAGAAGAGGAACTATAGATCAAGAAAGTCACATTAGCTATACTCGACCAAATACACCTTTTTTTAATCACTGGGTAGAGACTCAAAGCTAGTTCGGCTGAAAATTTTGTAGAAGAATCCGTTTGATTAATCTTTTAAATTGATGTTGATAGAATATAATATTTGTGGACATTTTGAATTCAAACTGTGCAACGTTACTAAGTTTATTGAGAAGGTTTGGCAACCCTGGTAGGGCCAATGAAACTCAAATTTCAAATGGAGTAGATGCAATATGCTTCCATAATTGGACCATTTGAAATTTCTAATGCAATATTTCAACATTCATGAATAGGGAAAATAATAATCAAATCATACATAAATCTTTTGTCAAGCAGAACACATCTCCCTAAAGAACGTGTTTAATCAAAATTATTCCACTAAACTAAATTATATAGGGCGTTAGCTTTGATCGCCTATTCACACGGGACGACTAGACTCTACTACATTGGACAGATCCATCTTTAAAAGAGTCAACATAACTACCTTCATAGTTTTCGTAGGCCTAGTCTGGCTTGAAACGCCCTATACTAGCGATTCATGGATCCTCAGTAATCTCGATGTGCCTACCGTCCCCGAGCCTCCATCTGTAACAAAGTAGTCTGAAGCTGCTCATTTCTTAGATAACCTTAACATTATTACTTTACAAACAACAAGATAAACTCATACCAACCCAATTCAATTTTGGGTCTTGATTTTTTCACACTAATAATCAAGTTCTTTGATTGAAATGACAAGAGGATATCAAGGAAGTTGACAAATTAAACAAAACTATATGGAACTTTATGCAAAGCTTGTAAATAGGATGGTAATTTCATGTTAAAATGCAATAAGAATCAATAATATTTCCGTAGCCAAGCACCTAATCTTCATATCAATAATTAAACAACCAATTGACATTGCCCATACGATATCAGCAGCAATTAACCCCACTTACACACCAACCCCCACAACTTTAAAAGGATTCACAAACTGTGCCAAATGACAGCACAATTTGAGTTCAAAGTGAGCAAAAAAACTACCAAAAACTGCAACTTTGTGTAGTATATAGATTGTTAGCTAACTTGGTGACAATGGGGAGCCTCAGCCAGCAATGTGGGATGCTGTTGATATCCATAGGCATCTTCCTAGCTGGTTTTATGTCATTTAGCTTTGCTTCTCCTGTCATTAAACGCTTTGAGTTTAATGTAAGCTCGATGAAGAAAGCGTCTTTTCTGTTTTTTGTTTTTGTTTTTTTTTTCTTTTTTGGCTCTAAAAACATATGAACATCCTTGTGGTTACTGATATTACTCTGCCATTTCAACTCAAAAGTGATGATTTTGTTTCCTATAAGGTGGAGTGGAAGAAGGTGAGAAGGTTGGGCCATACAAAGCAACTTCTAACTGTGAATGGACAGTATCCAGGGCCAACCATTGCAGTTCATGAAGGTGATACTGTTCGAATCAAGGTCAACAATTGCATGAATGAAAATACAACCATTCATTGGTAAGTTTCAAACATGCTATAAGCTCTAAATATAGAACAAAGCATTCTTTGCCAAACAACATTACACATTTAGAACTCAATTTTGGCTTTTCCCTCCACGAGATGAGCCTATAAATAAGCAAATTTACACATAAAAAAGTTCGACTTTTCAACTCTAAGCTAAACAAGTTCAATCCATAACAAATCTGATTGTTTGCAGGCATGGGGTGAAGCAACTAAGAACAGGATGGGCAGATGGTCCAGCTTACATAACACAGTGTCCTATCAGAGCTGGTGAATCATACACATACAAGTTCTCAGTGAATGATCAAAGAGGGACACTATGGTGGCATGCACATAATTCATGGCAACGAGCTTCTGTGCATGGTGCCTTCATCATTTACCCTCGCATGCCTTACCCATTCTCCTCTACTCCCATTGAAGCTGAGATTCCTATTCTCTTTGGTAAGTCTCGCTCGTCTCGAGTGAGTTTGGGATGACTTTAGAAAGAATAAAATATGCTTTTAACCCGTTTAAACACTTCTCAAACCAATCAAAATTTGATAGTGACTTGGTTTAATGATCAAAAGTGATTTTGAAAATTCTTAAATAGAGAACATTAGTGTTTCTCCCTAGCTCAGAAGAAATGTTTGTTGGGGATTGTTGGAAGATGAGTCACACATTGGCTAATTAAGGGGTTGATCATGCATTTATAAGTAAGAAATACATCTCCATTGGTACGAGGCTTTTTGGATAAACCAAAAGCAAAACCATGAGAGCCTATGCTCAAAGTGGACAATATCATACCATTGTGGAGGTTTGTTGCTTATAACATGGTATTAGAGTCAGGCCTTAACTTAGCCATGTCAATATAATCTTCAAATGTCGAACAAAGAAGTTGTGAGTGTCGAATGACTAATCAAAAGTGACTCAAGTGTCGAACAAAGGGTGTACTTTGTTCGAGGGCTTCAGAGAAGAAGTCGAGCCTCGATTAAGTGGACGAAGGTGTAGTCAAAAGGGACTCAAGTGTCGAACAAAAGGTGTACTTTGTTCGAGAGCTCTAGAGAAGGATTCATGGTTTCTAACAGTGCTTTCATTTAAAAGTTTCTCTTTTGAATATTCATTCCAAACCAATCCTTCATTGTTTCAGTACTTTTAGATGCTTTGGTTTGATGGGTTTTTATAAACGTTCATGATTTATGATCTGTGATGATTAGTTCTTCAGTTTTTACTTCACAAACACAGGTGAATGGTGGAATGGAGATGTGGAAGAAGTTGAAAACGAGATGTTGAAACATGGAGGTGGGCCTAACGTTTCTGATGCCTACACCATAAATGGCTTACCAGGACCTCTATATCCTTCCTCTACCAAAGGTAAATCCAACACTTCCACTACCAAAACTTCTCATTAGTAAACATAATTTTCAATCATCACAATGATCAATCAATGCAGACACATTCATTTCAACAGTAGAAAGGGGGAAAACTTACCTGCTGAGAGTCATCAATGCAGCACTCAACAATGAACTTTTCTTCGCCATAGCCAATCACACATTGACAGTGGTGGAAGTTGATGCTGCATACACAAAGCCCTTCAATACCACAGCCATTATGATAGCTCCTGGCCAAACCACCACTCTCCTGCTCAATACAGATCAAGTTCCAGAGCACTCTCAAATGTTCCCAATGGCTATCACACCCTATGTAACTTCAATTTTCCCCTTCAACAATTCCACCTCCATTGGTTTCTTGAGATACAACAGCACAAAAATCAAGAAATTTAGCTCACAAATACCTGAAAACCTCCCAGAAATGAAGGATACTGAGTTTGCTACGGCATTTTTGAACAAACTCCGCAGCCTTGGATCTCCTATGTACCCATGTAATGTTCCTAAGACGGTTCATAAAAGAGTTGTCATAACTATAAGCCTCAACCTTCAAGATTGCCCGTCTGGGAAATCTTGCCAGGGTTTGAACGGGAAGAGCTTCTTTGCTTCTATGAACAATCAATCCTTCGTTCGTCCGGCTTTGTCCATATTGGAATCGCATTACAGAAACACGGCTTCTAAGAGCTACTCTTCCGATTTTCCAGAAAAACCTCCGAAGGTTTATGATTACACGGGTGCGAACCCATTGACGAACAACATGAACGCAAAATTTGGAACTAGGGTTTTGGAAGTTGCATACGGGACAGATTTGGAAATCGTGTTTCAGGGGACAAGTTTTTTGAATGTGGAGAATCATCCAATTCATGTTCATGGGCACAATTTCTTCGTTGTCGGCAGAGGATTTGGGAATTTCAATGTGGCCAGGGATCCGGCGATGTATAATCTCGTCGATCCGCCGGAGAGAAACACGGTAGCGGTATCGATCGGAGGCTGGGCGGCCATCAGAATCAGGGCGAACAATCCAGGAGCTTGGTTTATACATTGTCATCTTGAAGGACATACCTCTTGGGGTCTTGCAATGGGACTCATCGTTCGAAATGGAGTAGGCGAATCAAAATCTCTGCTTCCTCCTCCTAAGGATCTTCCTCTCTGCTAGAACAATTCACGAACTTATTAGATTTAACTTATAAAATATTTTTAAAAATTCAAGAATTAAGTAAATAAATTTAAAAGTTCAACAACTAAATTAGAATTTGATTGTACACATTCAATGGTTGGATGTAGTTTGTAACAAGGAGTAGTACACACTATTTTTCGAATTTCACATCTGTCACTTTTTACTGTTATTGATGAAGCTTGACTCCACCTCACATCTTAGGATCGATCGCTGTTAAAGTCAAATAATCTTTTAGTTGTAACGTACATCTATCACTTCTTCCACTTTTGAGTGAGTTTGATCTGTAATTTAGATTACCGTCACTTGATGAAGTCTAACTCCACCTTACATCTTAGGATTGATCATTATTAAAGTCAAATAATCACTCGGGTATAGCGAAAGTAAGCCATAGAAAGGTCTTGTACTCGTTGTTCGTATAATTTTGTCTCAAACCCACCGCTAGCAGATATTGTCCGCTTTGACCCATTACGTATAGCTGTTACTAATGGTATCAGAGTTAGAAACTGAGTAGTGTGGCAACGAGAACGTTGGCAGGTGGTAAATTGTGAGATCTTTTATAAGTTGGAGAGAGGAACAAAACATTACTGGTGAGTGTATGGAAATATTTGAGATCTCATATTAGTTGGAGAGGGAAACAAAACATTATAAGTATATGGAAACCTCTATTTAGCATATGCATTTTAAAACCGTAAAGCTAACGGCAATAGGTAACTACCTAATATCGGTTAGCAGTGAACTTGAATTGTTCCAAATTTAAATTTGGTCTACCACTTATAACTCCTCTAGAAAACGAAAACGAAAACGAAAGATGTGGATATACGTACATACCGAGGTGCATGTACATATATATTAGAAATTTTATGAATGTGTGTGGAAAAAGAAGTGCATGAAGGGAATCCTGCAGGGAAGAAGAACAATAGTTTGTCACCGTTTGTTCGGCCCCAAACAAGTCTTTGGCTTTTGCTTTTACAATCTGTGGACCTTCCATAATCATATTAAAGCCTTCAACTTCAAACTCATACCGCTCATGCTGCCATGTGCCCAAACATAGCAGAGCTAGCCTCACACCTGTAAGATTCTAGTGATGCACGTGGACAAATTATTGAACGAGATCGATACTTATAAATTGTTGAGTATTGTAGTTTTGTACCTACCGGTGTAGAATTGGCAATGTTAACTTCGTTGTAGCGGTCTCTTCCATAATTTTTCACGATGCCGGATTCCTTTCTTGAAAAGAGTTTATGTGTTAGTGTGAGATCTCACGTCGATTTATAAGAATGCGGAAACCTCTCCTTTAGTTCTCAAGTTGAATGATCACTAAATCTTTGACATAATTTTAGTTATTATTGAGTTCCTAATTGTTTTTGTCTCATCTGTGACGGTTGTAGGTATGGTTGAGTTGTTGTTTTTTCTATCTACCCCTAAATCTTTGACAGAGTTTTAGTTATCGAAAGAGGAGAGTGGTGTATATAAAGAAATGCATGTTGAGAAGGGAAAAGATATCACCAATATTTTGTAAGCATCTGTTGGGTATCAAGCTCCATTGTCACAGCTAAGATTTGCATGAAAAAGCCAGAATCAGCGGCACCAGCACAGCTACAATCAAACAAACCATTAACACAAGGAAAGCACTTGCCTATGCTTTAACCACCTTCTCAATTCTTCTCATGCAATTCAAAATTTAACCACCCTAAATTGTAACCCTTCTACCTTCGACTAAATTACGAGTTTACCCTCTCTCAATTTCATCCCACGGTTCTTATGAGGCAGCCTGACCGGGTTTTTTTGTAATTTGACACTCAAAGGAGGTGGGTGACTGTAACTGACGGCGGTAATGCTGGCACGTGGGTAGAAAAAACTATGGGAGGGTGGTTCTACCACGAGGCCAGCCTCACACGTGTAGAATACTGGAGCTGTATGATTTACGTGAGCCTGTGCATGTCCCATGGCTTTCACAAATCCCACCACCATTTCCATCGCCAAAGCCATAGACATTACCAAATTTGTATCTATATAAACCCCACTTCCCCCTTCACTTCAAACCCCATCACCCTAATCGCCACCAAATTCAGCCCCCTTTCAATTTCCGTGCCTTTCTCTGTCCTTTTCCATGGCGGCCTATGTGGACCCTTTGGTGGTGGAGCGAGTCATCGGCGATGTGGTCGACATGTTTGTGCCCTCGGCTACCATGTCGGTCTACTACCATTCCAAGCATGTCACTAATGGCTGCAACATTAGGCCTTCTCTTACCGATGATCCTCCCAGGATCCTCATGAGTTCTCTTAATCTCTCCGACCTTTACACTCTGGTTTCTCTCTTGCACTCTCTTTTATCTTCTTATTTTGTTGTTTTAGCCTCGATTTAGAATGTCTTTTTAAGTATCCGCAGACGTTGAGTGTGGTGTGGATGCATGTCTTTAATTCCATCATTTTGAATGTTTGTGGCTTCTAGGTGATGGTAGACCCGGATGCTCCGAGCCCGAGTGAGCCTTATATGAGGGAGTGGGTGCACTGGTTAGTTTTACTCATGGATATCTAATTTTGCTTTGTGTATAATCTACCATGCTTAAACAGTTATATCTTCGTATCTTGATTGCTTACATAGCTTCTTTGTTGCATGTTATGAACAGGATCGTTGTGGATATCCCTGGAACTGGAAATGTGAACTTAGGTAATAAAACATCAAAATTCTTCCTTCTATTTAACATTTCTATTCGATTTCTTACATTTTCATCGTTCACAAGCTTCCAAGCACAACAACTTGACCAAAAAAACAAAAAGGCTCATACCCTTTGTTTTTTTTTTGGGAACAAGCTAAGTTGGCATGCATGGTTAGCTTCCACACATACATACATACATACATACATACATACATGCATGCATGCATCCATGTGTGCATGCGTACTTTATGTATACATCCATCCTTGTCAAGGAATATGATGCTTATTAATTACGCATGGTTCCTCTGAAAGTAAATCAAAACCACTGATTTTATCCCTCTCTTTTCCCCTCATTTTTAGCTTAGATTTAGTAACGAACTCCAACAATTTCATCAAAGAAATGTATTCTTGATTGAACTCAAGAACCAAGGACTAAAACACTAATGTTGTAGCTTGGATTTGAAGAACACACGCCCTTTAGTTAGTTTTAGTAACTTCATCCACACGTAGGAGGAGGAGTTGATGTGTTAAGAAGAATATGAAGAACACGTGTAGGTGGGGTTTGTGCCACTTGTTTATGTGACCCAACAGAACATAGAACATATAATAGTGTTGTGTTGTGTTGTGTTGTGTTGTGTGGTGGTGTATGTTGCAGGAAGGGAGATCTTGGCGTACACGGGGCCTTGTCCACCCATCGGAATTCACCGCTACATCCTGTTGCTGTTCAAGCAGAAGGGCCCTATTGGAATGATCGAGCAGCCAGCCACCCGAGCCAACTTCAACACTCGCCACTTTGCAACCCACCTCGAACTCGGCCTCCCCATCGCTGCTACCTATTTCAATGCCCAGAAGGAGCCTGCTGCCAAGAAGGTTGCCACCGCAGCATGAATGCAATACCCACCCGTCACCCGTCACCAGATCATCCATCTGTATGGATGTATCTATAATGCATAATAATAATATATAAAAGTATGTGTAAGAATAAGAAAGAGTATACTGCAAAGGGAAGTCCTAAGCAGCTATGCTTCTTCCCTTCACCTCTCTTCACTGTCCTGTTTGTGTTCTAATTACTCTGTTTCGAACCTATATATACATACATACATATATATATATATATATATGTATGTATATATATATATATGTATGTGTCTTTCTATGTTTTATGGTCTGATTTTCCTTTGTGTTTCTACTTCTCATCCTTTTTTGGGATAAGATCACTAACGGTTCCATTATATTACGGACTCTTTTGGCTGTGTTGTGCTTGGACGCACTTATATTCCACAAGCCATCGATGGGGGAAGACAGCCCCTATTCGGTGGTTCACGTGCCACTACAATCACATGGTATCCAAAGTGGCTAGAACCACTCTTTAACTAGCTCGTGAGTAACAAGAAGCCACGATAATACAATCTTCGATCAAACGAGCAACCCAATTCCATTGTTGAAGTACCATGTTGTCACTTTTAGATAGTAGTTTGATTAGAAAGTAGTAGTTCAATGCTCACCCTTTCAAAGGGACTACATGGTACCCCTAGAATCAACTTCTACAAATGCGATCATACTCGACAAAAGAAAAGAAGGCAATCGCCGATGGTGCTAAGGCCATCGGGTATTTTGCTTAGTCGTTGCTTGACAACAACGAACGGAGGTTGGACTGCATATCCATTTTTCTTGCTTTCTACAATGAGCTTGAGTCAACTACAAATTTTGTTGTTCTTCATTGGCTTTCATACTGAATTTATTTTTATGAATCTTTGGATGAAATTGGATAAACTGTAATCTAAAGTAATATATGAATGCATTGATTAAGAAATCCAATTTGATTAAGATATATAATTGATGTATGATTTGAATAATATGAATAGTACTCTATTAGATAAGATACCCGACAATTCAATATATTGGTGTGATGTCGGGCTCAATGCTTTTCGAATCCTTTAGATTAGAGTGATGTGAGCTGCTTTTGAGGATTTTGTTTTATTTTTATTTTTAATTTACAATTTTATGTGATTAAATTAAATGTCGAGACAATTTAAATTTATAATTTTAAATGTTAATTAAATCGTAAATTAATTAGAAAAAAAAATGGAGAAAACCCATTTCTTCTGTGAAGGCGGCTGAAGAAACTCAAGCTTCTCGCACTTGAGCTTCTGTGAATCTGAAACTTCTAAGGTCAGTTGCTCGCTGTGGTGGCTATGGCGATTAACAACAATAACGGGGATTTCCTAATGCTCGAAGCTCGACCGCAACCAGCGTGGCGTGTTTCTGCAGATGCGGAGGTAATCGACGCCTTGTCCTACATCGACGACGACTATGTAGACCCTTGCAGAGGTCGATCGCTTAGTGGAGGAAGAGATGCGGCGTAGCTCCAAGAGACCGGCCGACTTTCTCAAAGACTTGCCTCCTGTTCTCAAGTTCAAATTTGACGTAAGGTAGGTTCCGATTTCCTTTCCCGCCGGAGTTTTCCTCTGGGTTATGCACTTATAGTTCCACCTGATTCTAAGTTTTTAGGGGCGAAAGAACAAATTATTATTGTTTTCACTGGATATATTTGATTGAAAGTTGCTAATGCTGAATTTGGAAGTGTTTAGAAGCCTCATTTGCTGGTTCTGTTTTGAAACATCCTCCATAATGTTTACTCGAAAACAAGGTCGAGAAAATCAAATTAAAAATCAATCAACGAATTAGAATGCCGAATTTTGTTTATCCGGAAGCCACAGCATGTGAACCAATGACTATAAGATCCACTACTTGATCTTCTTTGATTTATTTTACCATTACTTAGGATAATTCTTGCAAATGTTAAAAAATAGGATAATGTTGACGATAGTTAGTTTGGACCCAGGATCATCCAATGTTTGCCAGAGAGTATGAACGTGTAAGAGCTGGGAGGCCTCCCGTGCCTCTCGATGTTGCAAGATACAAATTGGAGACGCCAGCTCCAAATAAAAAGAATGACGAAACTTCTTGGAAGCAGACACTTCAGAAAACTCAATGCTTACTACGTCATCAAGTGCTGAGGTGAAGTTTTGATATGTTTTCTATTGTTCTAGGCACTAAAGATTTGTATTTCGAAAATTTTAATTTTATGGAGAACAGTTAGAGTTGGCTGCTTGAACTCATACAGGTCCTGGAATTCCTGCAATACCACGACCTCATGTGTTGGAGAGTCACCACTAGCCGATATTGTCCTATTTGGACTTTTCCTTCTGGACTTCCCCTTAAAGTTTTAAAACGCATCTGCTAGGAGGAGGTTTCCACACCCTTATAAAGATTGCTTTGTTCTACTATGTCGGATCTCACAGTTGGTAATGTTGGGTTTCTACACCACAACTATACTATTCCCATCTGAATTGAATTGATTCGATTCATTGATCAAGGACTTTATTATTGTTAGATGCTTATCTTTGCACATTGGTGAACGCATTGCAATCCTTACTTTTGACTACACTAGCCAGAAGAAATGAAACATCCATATGCACTTGCTGCTGCCTATGGCTCTTTCTTTCATGAGTGCCTATGTGCTCTTTCTTAGAACTCAAGGACATGGGAGTACAACTTATAAAATAGATCCTGTACAAGTAAGGTCCTGCCCAGGTGCCCTTTAACGTTGCATCCATGCTAGAAACTTTATGTTTGAGGAGGTTATCACTTCACGTTATTTAATATTGTAAATACCCGAGAACTTTATATTTGGGATCTTCATGATATAATGACAATGAGATTCTGCATGCCCCTGCAACATAAAAGTCGGTGTCTCTCTTTTGGTTAGACATTCCAACTTTCACTTGCTTGTTGTCACATTATCTGAGGCAAGGGCCGTTTCTATCAAAACTAAAAACCATTGCATGACAGGCATTAGCTTTATAAAACACTTGGCCACATTTATATACATGTCATTTCTTAATGTAGTAAGCAAGAAACTACATCTGACCAACTTGACCATATATGATTGTTACTTACATTGTCTTGTTACTGTCAGAATGCAACAATTAGCTCAAGAACAGAATGAGAAGATGGAAAAAGTTAACCGCGAAAGAAAATTCCATCAAGTGAGTAACATCCCTGTAATTCATATTATTAGTATAAGCTAGAGGTCATTTCTTTGGAATAGTTGGTTGATTTTTTATGCAATGGTCAGCAAAAAGCTGCATCTGAGCTTCATGTTTTGTCCACACAATGGAAGGAACTTTGCCAGAAAAATGTTGAAATCCGAGTTGTATCCTCTCAAATAGAGGATCAAATCCAGGATCGAAGGAGAGAGTCTGAAAAAAAGTAATCTTGCATTTTTCTATTTGATCTCTTTTAGTCACACACATGTTTGGAATATTTAGAACTGATCTGTGGGTTATGATTTCAGGTACATGATAAGCCCTGCCCAATGAGTTATATATATTGTTCAATTTATTATATATAGTTTTACCATACCATGGGAGCATCCTAACCATGGTTTATGCTGCTCAAAACTAGAGACGACGGACATTTTTGTTGCTCTTAGCATATGCCGATATGGAAGATGAGTTCGGTTTATGGGAGAAGATCCAGTTGCTTTTGCTAACCACGTTATTGGGTAACTCTCTCATTTTTATTTACATAATGTTTTGTGTATAAATTATTGAACTACCAAACTGTCAATCAAATGGATAAATATTTGATGACAATTCAAATTCTTTTGATATAAACTAAGGTACCACAGAGAATTATTTGCTTTGTTCAATAATTGACTCTTGCTTATCACATGTTCAAAGTTTAGTTTTGTTCAATAATAGCCTTGGTTAAATCTCTAAATTCATTAGCATGATTTAAAATTTATTTTGTGTAGGTCCCGACCATAAAAATGTCAATTGAGTTAAGATTGTGTCGAATGGAATTTTCCATTATAATGTTATTTGAATTCTTATGTAATGAAACAAAATATTCAGTTTTCAATTTTTTTAAAAAATAAATTATGTTAAGGTCTATTAAACTCAAACTTTGAAAACTAAAGGATTATTAAAATTGAAGCTAAATTAATAACAAAAAAAAAAAAAAAAAAAAAAAAAAAAAAAAAAAAAAAAAAAAAAAAAAAAAAAAAAAAAAAAAAA